CTCTCAGGCGATGCTAAGTGAGTATATGATGAGAACTCACTAGCATTACCTATCACATGGCGAGACGCACCGGAGTCGACTATCCATTCTGATGATCTGTCGGGAGACATAGAAGCAAGAGCATGTATATCATCAGTACCTTTTGTCGGATGAGCATAGGTAGCAGTGTTGCCTCTGGCGAAGAACGAAGTGGATGCCTCCTCAGTCCCATCCCCTGCTACTTGTTGCTTCCTCCTGAGTATCGTCAGGAGAGCACGATCCTCCTCAGTAAAGACCACCTCAGCTTCTTCTTCCTCTGCTACCGTCAGATTCGCTCGGTTCCCTGCTCCTCTTCCACCTCGTCGACCCCCACGGCCACGACCACGACCTCCGAACTGTCCACGTCCACCCGAATCTCCTTCCTTGGGTGGCTTGGTGCAAGCATGCCTTAGATGACCCACCGCACCGCAGTTGTAGCACTGTCGAGTCTCTCCCCTAGATCCAGTATTGCTAGAGGCTGCCAGTGCTGACTTCACCACAGGAAGTCCACCTGTCCCCGCCTGCAGCCGAATGCGAGTCTCCTCATGGATCATAGCAGAGACAGCCTCCTCAAGCGTGGGAATCTTTGGCTGAGCTAGCAGCAATGCGATTCGTTGAGCGAACTCTGATGTCAATCCTTTGAGAAACACCATAGTCCTCTCCTGTAGAAAGGCCTCCCGTTCTTTACATCCCGGGTCCTTGCAGCTCGCCCGAGGTGAGAAGTGATCATAATCTAGCCACAGCTGCTCCAGCTCTGAGGCATACTCTTGTACAGTCCTATCTCCCTGGACTGTGGCGTCGATCTCACCCTTAATCTGGAACACCCTCAGGTTATTCCCCACTCCATCATAGGTCCTCCTTAACTTTTCCCAGACGTCCTTCACCTTCTCAATGCCATCCACCATACTCTTGTACAGTCCTATCTCCCTGGACTGTGGCGTCGATCTCACCCTTAATCTGGAACACCCTCAGGTTATTCCCCACTCCATCATAGGTCCTCCTTAACTTTTCCCAGACGTCCTTCACCTTCTCAATGCCATCCACTGTGGCGGCGATCGAATCCCCCCCGGTGACCAGCTCAGGTAAGTACCCGGTCCATCAAGCTTCAGATCTATGGTAGGAAGTTCTAACTTCTTGGATGGTTTTGTCGCGCTCTCCCCAGCCGACAACTTCATCAGCTTCATCAAAGTTGACACCTCCGCGGGGTTCAACTTCTTGATAATCTCCTCCATTGATCAAGCTTCAGACCCAACACCTGGTCACCTTCTCTTCTGACCCTTGTTGTGTGCAGTAAAAATTTCGGCAGCACCTCTGCTGCACAACAAGAGTAAGATCTCAAACAATAAAAAACAGTGATATATCTCCTGGCTCTGATACCAAGTTGAAATAGAAACCCTAATCATATTAATAAAATAACATGGGCTTATATAGGCCCCCTACAAATACATCTTACAAATAACCCCTTAACTATTCTAATATGTCAACAATTACAGATCATGATAGTTCTAACTCATTCCTTGTTAACTCTAACTTCGTGTATATTAACCACAACTCTTTATAGGCTTGTGGTCTATTCTTTACAAAAGGTCAGATCCATACAACCCTCCACACAAGCTTGTTATAATATCAGATGCGGATAAGGCGATTAGAGAAGCGGTTAGAGAATTTTTCCCAGATGCTATACACTCTTGATGTGTTCTGTATCTAGTTGAGAACTTCAGGACAAAGTTGAGGGATTTGGGATTCAAGGCAAAGGATACTTAGATTTTGGGAAATTTTTTGCAATCTGCTTCTTACAAATATACTAGAGCAGAATAGAATGATTATATAGATGACATTAAACTGGTTAACAAAAGAGCATACAATATTGTCATGAACTACGCTCCAGAGAACTGGGCAAACCTATTTTTTCCTGGAATTAGGTAAGTTATAAACTATTTCATTTCTTATCTTAGTTAAGTCATTTGATTAATGAATTTAGACATGAATGTCTATACTAGAACTAACAATAATACAACTAGAACTAACATAGGCATTAGAACACACATTTAAACTAGACCTTGTGTTAGCTAACACGAGAACGGGTAGAACTAACACGATAATGGCTAGAACTAACATTAACCCAGCTAGAAGTTACATATCCAATAGAACCAACACTTATACTAGAACTTAAAGTTACCTGGAGGTGGAAATAACATGAGATCGGCTAGAACTATCACATTTAAACTAGAACTAACATAGGCATTAGAATACAACTAGAATTAACATAGGCATTAGAACCCACATTTAAACTAGACCTTGCGTTAGCTAACACGAGAATGACTAGAACTAACACGACAACGACTAGAACAAATATTAACCCAGTTAGAACTAACATATTCAATAGAACCAACACTTAAACTAGAACTTAAAGTTATGTGGATGTGAAAATAACACGAGAACAGCCAGAACTATCACTGGAGAAGCTAGAACATACGACAACTAAGCTAGAACTAACAAATGTAATAGAACCAACACTTAAACTATAACTAGCGCTAGCTGATGGTAGAACTAACATGAATGCAGTTAGAATTAACACGGCAACATATAGAACTAATAACAACTAAGCTAGAACTAACAAAACCACTAAAACCAACACTTATAATAGATCTAACGCTAACTGGACGTAGAACTAACATGAGGGCGTCTAGAATTAACACAAAAGTAGATAGAACTAATAATAGCTTAGCTAGAACTAACATAGCCACTAAAACCAACACTTGTACTATAACTAACAATGACTCAGTAGACCTAATAAAATTGAGAAACACCATAGTCCTCTCCTGTAGAAAGACCTCCCACTCTTTACACCCCGGGTCCTTGCAGCTAGCCCGAGGGGAAAAATGATCATAGTCCAGCCACAAGCGCTCCAGCTCTGTAGCATATTCCTGTACAGTCCTCTCTCCCTGGACTGTGGTGTCGATCTCTCCTTTAATCTGGAATACCCTCAGGTTATTCCCCACTCCATCATATGTCCTCCTCAACTTCTCCCAGACGTCCTTCACCTTCTCAATGCCATCCACTGTGGCGGCGATCGTCGGGACCAACGAGTTGAGAAGCCAGATGTATACCAACATATGAGTAGCCTTCCACTCATCTCTACCCTCCGAGTCCTCATCCGGCTCTGTCACCTCTCCTGTCAGATAACCCTCCAGATTCCTCCCTGCAAGAGTGTATCTCACCCGCCGTGACCAGCTCAGGTAAGTACCCGGTCCATCAAGCTTCAGATCTATGGTAGGAAGTTCTAACTTCTTGGATGGTTTTGTCGCGCTCTCACCAGCCGACAACTTCATCAGCTTCATCAAAGTTGACACCTCCGCGGGGTTCAACTTCTTGATAATCTCCTCCATTGATCAAGCTTCAGACCCAACACCTGGTCACCGTCTCTTCTGACCCTTGTTGTGTGCGGCGAAAATTTCGGCAGCACCTCTGCTAAACAATAAGAGTAAGATCTCAGGCAAACTCTTGTTTCTCAGAGGAAACAAGAATAAAAAACAGTGATATATCTCCTGGCTCTGATACCAAGTTGAAATAGAAACCCTAATCATATTAATAAAATAACATGGGCTTATATAGGCCCCCTACAAATACATCTTACAAATAACCCCTTAACTATTCTAATATGTCAACAATAACCCAGGTCATGCTCACCGCAGTGACCTCCTGGACCACTTTTAACACTCTCAACATTTGAACTGGTTGAAAAGGTTTTTTTTTTTGGGGAGAGATTGTGAATGTGATGTGATGGCAATCATGGCATGGAATGTTGTCCCATTCACATGAATGTGATGTGATGTTATGGCATGATGTCCCATCTCATACATGAGTGAAAATAACTGAAACAAGATTAATTACTTTTTTATATCATGGTCCCATCAATTTTCCAGGTCTCAAGGATTGATTCCTCTGACTATTGTTCAGCTCCACTCCAAAATCTCCACCACGTTGAATTCTGTGCGCTACAAACTATTATGGAATCAGCCTCTACACGACTACGCCCATACCGGGAAATTTTTATACAGTCCTTCACCATAATCTTCACATAACATTCAAAACATTATTTGTTTCTTCATGCATTAGGAAAAGAAAATGTACTAGTGACTCAGATTCATAAAGTTTCCTTCTTCATATTTTACACAAAACTATGTATTTATAAGTACATAGTCTTTACAGTTATTTTCCCTCATGTATTGAATCAAATCGAGATGGTTAAAATGGAAGAGTGCTTCTGAAGTCTTATGTGATTGTAAAATACCAATAAAATTAAAGAAAAAAAATTCTATAGGACAGTTATAAGACCAACAATGTTTTTATGGGTCAGAATGTTGGACAATTAAAAAACACTTGACATGTTCAAAAAATGAGTGTAGCAAAAATAAAAATGTTACAATGGTCTTGTGGGTATACATTAAAAGATAGGATAAGAAATGAGTGCATTCATAGTAAATTAGAGGTTGTGCCTATAGAGGATAAAATGAGATAGAATAGATTAAGATGGTTTGGCAGGATAAAATAAGATAGAATAGATTAAGATGGTTTGGTAGGATAAAATAAGATAGAATAGATTAAGATGGTTTGGTTATATACAACGGAGACCCATTGATGCACCGATTAGGAAAAGTGATAATATTAGAGTTAATGGGGCTAGAAAAATCTATATGTAGACCTAGAAGCACTTGGTTAGAAGGAATTAAGAAGGATATGATTAAGACTAACTTAACGGAGGAGATGACCCATAATAGAATGAAATGGAAAAATATGATTCATGTAGCCGACCCTAAATATTTGGGATAAAGGCTTGGTGGTGGTGGTTGTCGTCGTCGTCGTCTTTACTTACACCACTTAAAAAGTAGGTCTCATATTCAAAATGTCTGCTTCTTCATATCTTACACAAAAATATGCATCTCTGACATAATCTTTACACCAACCTATGAACGCATACGTCTACCAACCACCCCTTTCACTAGTATTCCTTTTCTCTAAAGATACATGCAAGCAAAACTCCAAAGAGTTCAATCTTAGGCTTGTTATTCTCACAATTGCCCATAACACACTACTGTACATATACAAGTTTCAAGTCCCAAAATCGTGTAACAAATGAATGAGGCTGCCTCCTTCGTCGTCATTCTGTAGGCCCAACCTGAGGGACATTTCAGTCATTTGATAAGCCGTGAATCCCTTGCCGTCGTCTAATTGTAAGATTTCCGTGTTTGGAATTAGGTTAGATTTTGAGGAGATAGAGAAGTGGCCTTGACTTTGAAGCAAGTCGGCCCCCCTCTTCAGATGACAAAGGCATCATCTCTGCCTTTCGGTGGATTCTCCGAAGAAGAATTTGAGTCCACTTCAGTCTCGCCGAATTCTTCTTTGTACATCTCCTCAATCATCGGCTTCCAGAGACGGACTCGTGCGTTTATAAACCAATTTGACACCTGTGCACATAAAACAGTAAATCCTCGTTTTTTTGGTGGGGTGGGGTCTAGGGATGGCAAATGGATGGTTTTGGTTGGGTTTTGGTTGGGTCATAAATGGGTGGGCACATTTATGACCACTTAACCATTTATGACCCATTTAGCACTTGCTAAATGAGTTGGTTCTCATCCACCCATTTATTAAATGGGTGGTTCATGGGTAACCCAATAACCCATTTAGTTATGATTATGATGCTTCTATATATATGTAAGTTTCAGGGATCTACTTGCAAACTTTCAGGGGTTTTTGGCAAACTTTCAGGGGGGTTTTCTGCAAACTTTTAGGGGGTTTTCTGTAAACTTTTAGGGGTTTTTTGTAAACTTTCAGGGGGTTTTCCGCAAACTTTTAGGGGGTTTTCTGTAAACTTTCAGGGGTGTTTTGCAAACTTTCAGGGGGTTTTCTGCAAATTTTCAGGGGGTTTTTTGTAAACTTTCAGGGGGGTTTCTGTAACCTTTCAGGGGGTTTTCTGCAAACTTTCAGGGGGGTTTTTTGCAAACTTTTAGGGGGTTTTCTGTAAACTTTTAGGGGGTTTTCTGTAAACTTTCAGGGGTGTTTCTGCAAACTTTCAGGGGGGTTTTTTGCAAACTTTTAGGGGGTTTTCTGCAAACTTTTAAGGGGTTTTCTGTAAACTTTTAGGGCTTTTTTTGCAAACTTTTAGGAGGTTTCAGTAAACTTTCAGGTGGTTTTTTTGTAAACTTTTAGGGGGGTTTCTACAAACTTTCAGGGGTTTTATGTAAACTTTCAGGGGGTTTTTTGTAAACTTTCAGGGTGTTTTCTGTAAACTTTTAGGGGGTTTTCTGCAAACTTTTAGGAGATTTTCTACAAACTTTCAGGGGGTTTTCTATAAATATTTTTTCTCAATTGAATCGATTACTTCAGAAAATTAGGACAGAATTGTGAGGAAAAGAAGCAAATGATGACAGGGCTGAGCAAAAGAAGAGATGGACTCGTAACAAGTCTAGTTTACTACCTGCTCGGTTATTTAAAAAAAGCCCTTACTTTGGTCATGTGACAAATTACACTTGGCCGCATACGCATATATCTCCTGCCGACGAAGAATTATGAGCGCCTACTTTTTATATTTATATATCATTGAGGGTGTTTTTTGTAATTTTTAAAAGTTTGAGGGTGTTACTTGCAAATTTGATATTTATAGGGGACTACCGAAATTTTTTAGATTTCATGTGTCATTTGCAAGTTTAGAAAATTCTAAGATTGTTTTGTAGTTTTGAATTCTTGAGGGTGTTTTTTGCAATTTTTAAACTTTGAGGGTGCTTTTTGTAAATTATAAATTTACAGGGGGTTGCTAGTAATTTTTTATAATTTTTAACTCTTGATGGCGTTTTTATAATATTTTAAACTTTGAGGGTGTTTTTTGCAAATCTTAAAATTTTAAGGGGTTGTTAGTCATTTTAAGTGTTTTCTATAATTTTGAACATTTGAAAATAAGTTTTGTAATTGTTTAAGCGTTGAGGGTGTTTTTAAAACAATATCCATCTAAACGGGTAAATGGGTGGGTAATAACCCACCCATTAATGACCCATTTATCTTTAATAGAAACTATACCCACCTATTTATGACCCATTTAACTAAATGGGTGGGTTTGGATGGTTCATTTGGCGGGTGGGTATGGGTGGGCAATTGGTTTTGGGTTCATTTTGCCATCCCTAGTGTTCTATTTGCGGCCGTCAAGGTCATTTAGCTAAGTTTTGTTATGATGCACACAAACATAAGAATTCTAATGTTCCTTGTGCATCTCATATAGCTTCTTCATCTTGTACACTTACACATTCACATGCTCATTCTCACAAAGTTCATCATAAGCATGCTAGTGTGTTCAAGTGTGATTATTGTGGTCGTTTTGGTCATTTGGCCAAATATTGCTTTGATTTGAAAAGAAAATCTCATTTGACAAATGCTTCCAATAGACCACATGTTTTTAAATGTGATGTTTGTGGTAGGTTTGGACATCTTGCTAAATTTTGTTTTGATATACAAAAAGCTTCTAAATTGCAATATGTTCCAAATAGACCATTGTTTAAGAATGTTTCTCATTTGCAAAATAATTTTAAAAGACAATCTTTATTTGCAAATGATTCCCGTGCACGAGCTAATGGTCCACAAAAACAAATGGATCTCTTTCATTGCACAAATTGCAATCGGAAGGGTCATTTGAATAAATATTGTTTTGACCATGTTAGTGCACCATATGCGCCTAAGAGGGTTCATAACCCTAGGGCTTTGAGCTTTATTGATAGGGGTCATGTCCCTAAACAATCCGGCACCAAGAATGCTTGGGTGCCAAAATAATTTTTAAACCAAGAATTTTAGTGTTTTTATTTTTTCTCTTTCTTGGTTTTGAAAAATGCATTTTAAACTTTTATGAAAACAATTTCTTTTATTCGCTAAATTCTTTTGTTTTCATGATCATTGGTTTTGCTTTCATGAGAGGTTTGCATTTATATAACCCTCCGGGTTTATTGGGTGTTTATTCCCAAATCATGTTTACCGGATGCTAGAACGATTATATGGGTTAGAACAACATTTAGAGCTTGATATATTGTTGCCTCTCTTGAAATTCTTTTGTTAAAGATTTTGTTTTGATTTGTTGCTGGTTTGGATAGTTCATTTGGCGGGTGGGTATGGGTGGGCAATTGGTTTTGGGTTCATTTTGCCATCCCTAGGGGAGAGAGACGAAGAAATCACTAAAGCAGGTTACACTAAAGCAGGTTAACATCTCTTTTCGTGGAATGCATGAGTTAAATTCGTAGACATCCACTTCAGCTGAACAGTTCACTAGTTTTGGCTATGGACGGGGAAGAATTGAGAAAAATAATTGGAGCTGGACCTGGTTAACATGATATCAGTCCTCAATAGTTTGAACCAGTGAGGTAAACTATGAACTGGAGTCGGCAATGAGCCAAATTTAATGAGCTAGTAGGTTAGGAGGAAGGCGTGGACTACTGATAAACCGCTTCAAGCTCAAAATGAAAGACCTGCACTCTCTCATTTGTGAACTGTGAGGTAGAACATATGTGCAAGAGTCTGATCTAAACGTAAATCCTGTTCGTCATTCTATAGGTTGAGAAAAGGATGTAACACATATTCATAATTCCAAACGGCTAGTTTTATCTTTAAAACATGACCATAACAAATGTCTTCGGACTCTTTACTAGATACTCACTAGAGTATCAACCATCAGATGAGCAATACTTCCTTTTTTTCAGAAAAGCTAATGGTTACCCCTTGAGAGGAAACTAAAGGCATACCTGACTTTTTGTCAATCCAGTGTCTTTTGCTAGCATTAACTTCTCAGTATCATTTGGGTAACTAGAGAAAATAAACAAGAAACAAAATAATCAAAACAAAAATATTTTTTTATATTAATCACATAAATCTTTCAAATTTGAAATTAGTCTCTCAAATGCATCGACCTTGCTATTTGATTGTTAAGTTTTTAAAAATTAATCCCTCTAATTGCTACTTTTAGTCTTGATGGAAAGACTAATTTGAAAATAACTTTGGAGGATCTTAGAACAATTTCCATGATTAGAGAGACTAGTTTTTAAAAAAAAAACTTAAGAATTGGGGAACCCAATAGAAATCTCAATGATTTGAGGGACTGATTTCAAAATATAAAACATGCGACTTATATAGGAAAAAACCAAAAGAGGAACAAAGAGTTACATGTGTGAAAAGCTTACGGATGAAGGAAATGCTCAAAGATCCACGCCCGAAGAGCTGAAACCGAGGTCTCCGGTAACCCCCTTTTGGGCCTCCAAGCATGTGGTTGCATCATACCAAACTTCTGCGTGGCCCTCTCTTGCCTTAAATGCTGGTCTATATGACGAAGCCGAGATATTCCACACCCTTTTGTACTTGGGCTCTCTTGATCTCCAATGGTTTTTCTTGTGGAGTGAATCTGATCATTGATTGCATCTCTTAGGCAGCAAAAATGCCGCGAAATCGTTTGCAAGGCTAGTGCAGTGTAAGGTTTGGCAGCACAACTTCCAGCCATCACATTGAAAGATGACACTATAATCTGCATCTGATGGTAATATTGCTTATACCTTCTATCAACCTGCATGCATAGCAACATTAGATTTACTATTCATGAATTCAGAACTTATACCAAGGTAGATTAAAATAGTTGCATCATTATTCAGAACTTTACCAAGGTAAATTAAAATGGTTGCATCGTTATTCTAGGTTATTAGCAGTGTTACCTGGACATAGAACAAGGATGTAAAAGCATTTCGTGGAATAAAAAAAACATTGAAGGGTGTTTCGTCCGAAAAGCCCCAATGTTTTGGGAGTTTTTTGAAAATTTACCCAATATTTAACACCTAAGACGAGCCTATTAATAACTAACAAAGATACTTGTATATCATCATTAACGTTTAAAACAAGTCTTCAGGACCTGCAATAGGCCCATAAATTATTTATACTATCCAGTTTCTGACACTTTTTTCTTCCATGTACTACAGTACATTCTTTTGCTGCTTCTCTCCTTAACCTGCAAGATACTCTACTTCATTCTTAGGACATCTAACCAAATAATATGTCATCAAGTTACGTAAATAAAAGAGTATAAATCCCTGTTTCATTTAAGAGAGTAGTCTGTCCAGAGTACAACCATATGGTGAAAAATTGTGTAAAGTACACTGGAGGCGGCAGATCTTTCCTACTGATGTCTCCTTGCAGCATATAACATTAGCCAGTGACTAACTCAAATGATTGAAGCAAAATGATTATTAATAGTATGTTTTGTCCCAATAAATAATTATGTGCAAGATAGAAATGAAACCAAACATGCTGCATTGGTTTAGAATTTTCACAAATACAAATCAGGAACTATATGCGACCTATCTTGCACGAATATGGGTGTGGGTACAGACATGGACATGGTTGTGGATATGGGACATAACAAAATTGTAAAAGTTAGGATATGGGGAAACCACTATATACATACATATTAAAATAAATAATCTCTATGAGCTCGATATTGCTTTTCATTCACATGTTATGAGAACTAAAATCCTTATACCATTTTTATGTTTCTTCCTTGAGTAAATCGCAAATTGAAAAACAGCTTGTTTTTAAACTATATACCCAAACGACCCTTTGAAATCATATTTATGAACCAGGTATGTGCTAAATGAACCTGTCCCAAGTCCAACTGGTTGCATAAATTTGAGGTTAAGTGTATGATATATGTTCAAGAAGTGTATCACATGTTTTTTTAAAGCTAAAACATGTGTTATATGTTGAGTACACGTCTGAATAAATGTTTATATATATTCAAGAAATGTCCAAGCAGTGTCCAACAAGTACATGGATACGGTAAGTGTTGCATATGGATACGGTGGCCTAGATGAAGTGTCCAGGTTAGCATGTGGCATATGAATAGATCACTCCATGTATACCATGTGTACAGATCATCCGCGCGCTTCCAAAGTTCAAAATTTCAGCCTAGATAGTCTCTTATGTCCATTAGGTATACTTCAACTAGAAGCTTTTTATCATCAAATAGATTAACATTTATAAAGATCCAAATACCACAACAATTATTTTTCATCAACACCATAAACAAATTATATTAATTTTAGTTGGAGACAAATGTTGAATGGATGCTGACTTCCTCATTATCCTCTGCTCTGGAATCTGGATATCCCGTCTCAACCAGCATTTATCCATCAAAAAAGGGCTAAGGAATGAAAATAAGATAGAATGTAACTTAAACCTGTTACGCATAAAAAAATTAGTAAGAAGACTTGCAGAAAAAACATAAATGCACTCAAGCTTTAACGCGAACCGATGCTTTACTTTGAGACCTCATAGAACTTTTCAAGTAAAGTGTAGAATTTATCAGTTAGGTACTATGCTGAATAACTCTTAACTGATTTTTACTGTTATTTTCACAGAAGTAAATTGAAGAATGTGTAAAATAAAGCCCACAATAACATTTGAAAACAAGAATATAACAATGATTTACAGAATCAGGAACATGTAATAGATGTAGGAAACCAATAAATTAATTGAAAATATCATAGAGAGATCACCAAATTATTATTTATTCTTGAGATTAAGAGATACTCAAAGGCAACAGTGGCATGTCAAGATTTGAACACCAAGTCCCTTGCACAATAACGAGGCTTTATCAGTGTGCTACAATGGAAACCATATGCAGTTATCTTTATATAAGAAAAGGTTTTAAGAACTCTCCTCATTGCATAGTGAGCCTAACTAAGAAAATTACGGAATCATGAACATGACATCAGAAGCCAAAGAAACCTATTTAATTAGTTTACATGCTTACATGCTAATCACACATGAATGCCAAAGTTTAAATAGTATAAGTGATTGTAGTAATCAAGCATGCTTGAACCATGACACCCTCCAATTTTGCTCGAGACATGGGGGATGAAATATATTCATATCTTGACCAGAGTATCAGCTTCACGATCACCATTTCATCCACTTAAGCTTTCTCTATTCCTTCAAACACTGGACTCAATGATATTTATAAATTTTATTTAGCAATTTAGTATCCCTTTGGGCCCTTATTGGAGCTGATTTCAGTTACTAGCAACTGTTTTATGTGCTATGTGCTCCCTAAGCATTCAACCTTCAGAAAATTGGTATGTCACAGGGACTGGAATCTCTTACCAGAATCACATGGCAATAATGTTGTACAGTAATATTATAATGTCTATTACGACGAGGGTCATAACTACCCCCAATTATAGATAAGACGAAGAAACATACATATATGAGCTAATGTGTAGTTCAGCAATCTTAAAAAAGCCTAGAAACCACTAAAAATTATAACCAAATTCATGCTCAAAGTAAGTACATTTTACAACTATAACTGTGAATCAAATGTAACATCTGATATAAGTTGCTATACTCGGTATCTGCTAACCCAAGAATGATCCGTCTTCAGTGGAAAGAAGGAACATGGAAAAATAGGTGTACAAGAGTTTAGGATTAAGGAAAATGTATACAGGATGATATCATGAGGATTAGGGCCAGATATATACAGGGATCAAGGCTAGCAGTTGGGAAATACAGCACTTGGACCAACCATCTGTTCTAAGCAGTTTCTTAAGTTATAATTCATTTCTTGTCAAGAAAGAATATCTCTCAACATAACAAAGCAAAACTAAGTAAGAAAGTTACTACATCCATGGGTTAGGTAAGTCTAGCTAAATTGATTTATTCGAACTGAAAATTCAACAATTCCTAGTTGCAGTATAAAATTAAACCAAATGATCAACGAAGGTGATGGAAATGAATCTGAACCTCGTCTAAGATAGCCAAAAGTTTAGTAACTTTGTTCTGGAGATCCTGTCTTTCAGAAGATGAAAGATCACTAGAAGAATTCACAGTTGATTCTTGAGGGTTTGCTGGAATTCCATCGCTCTTCAAAAGCCCATCAGTATCTTTGCAAACTGCAGAAGCATTGTAGCTTTGTTTTTTGCTTTCTTTCTGTATCAAACCATTGTGGACATTAACAACTTCATCAAGCAACTTCTGTGCAGCTTTGAGGTACTTAGAATTTGAAATGTTGCTAGCAAGATTTGTAAGTGCATAAGTAGAGGAATTAGCATGGAAATGTTTGTTTCTAGTATCATCTCTACATGAATCCCCATTCTCTGAAGATTGATGAGAATTCAACATTGAGATGTCTGAATTAGAGATAGGAATCTGTGAACCGAGACTAAGAGACAATTCTTGACGTTGCATCTTAGAGAAATTTGACAAGGCCTGCCCATTAAAGATAACAGATCTCTGAATGAGATCATCTTCACCTTCCATTGAGCCATTGTTTGCTTGCATGACTGACATTTCGTTACTATTATGCCTCCATGAATATTCTTGTAAAATAACAGGGAAAGAATTGCAGTTTGTCTGGGATTCATTAGAGCCAGCCAACATCTCTGAGAATGGACCAGAAGACACAAAATTAAAACACATCATATTGCCACCAACTGAGGACTCAGGAATTGTCATGAGATCCCTTTGATTAGTAGGATAGAAAGTAGCCATTTAATTTGTCTTGTATTGCGCACAAAGAGAGCTTAGCTACACAGAAATGTTGGATGGCGAAACATTACATCACCATAGAGACGTGGGTGAAGATTCCCTGGTGAACTAGACGATCCAGATGAGGTGTTTTATTTAAGAAAAGATTCCCTGAAAATAATCGGGTGCATCAAAGAAATAAACAGAAAGAAAATTAACACTAACACATGAGAGTCTACTCAAGAGAGATAAAGTGATAGAACAAATGGACTAATCATTAGAGGAAGGACAAGAACCAGGTCAGACAATTAAACTAGATGGCACAAACAAAAGGATGAGAACCAAGTCAGACGATTAAACTAGATGCCCACAAACAAATTATAGGAAAAACCCAGATCGCCTATTCATAATTCAACTCCAAAAGTTTTCACTTCAGAAAAGAGATCTCTAACTAGATAAACGAAAGGCAACCTTCAATTTTAGGCCTTTACGTCTCAGAAATCACATGAAGAAATCTCAGTTATTCTCCCACTTCTGAATTGAAGAAAGCAATTGTTCGCAGTCAATTTGGAAAATCAAAACAATTTTAGGCACAAGGTTGCAAATTACTCAAATTACTAGCTTCATATCACAGGAACACAGTAGTATCTAAAAAATTGGTTCAATATGCATATCAGATTTTAAGAACCAAGCCAGTGCACAAGGAAGCAACAGTAAGTAGCTGGAAGCCTCAACCAAAACCTAGATCAGCTCTACCTTGTCATTTTCCACTCTGTAGTAAAAGATTTAGCTTGAAGAATAAATAGATAGAGGGAAACCCTCACCTACACCCGTGAAAATAAAAAACAGTATCAACATTCTACTCTTTTTAAGTACCGGTTGCACCTGAATTTCCTTAATCAAACTTCAGTACAAAAGGCTAGCTACCATGAAAACAAGAAGACAAAATTCCATTTAATTTAGTTTCGTTAAACTCCAATAGCATGTTATCTAAAAAAATTATTTTTATTCAAATATGAACACCCCTCAGTTAAAAATGAAATAAACCAAAACTTATATGAAATTCCATCCATTCAGCCATGTTAGGACCTTCAAAATCTCAAATCTTCAAAATTAAGCACCAGACACAAAGACCCAACTGTTAATCGTTATAATAATTGTGATCGTTTGACTGCACACATAAATATCTACACCTAGAAAGACTAAGTAGCCCTAAAAATTCTTAAACTCCAACTAAAAGTCCCTACTTTTAAGGAACCAACAATTTGCCTACAAATTTTTGAACACAAGCTCAAAAGATGGGATGATCACTACCTTGCACAAGAAACCCACATCAAATCAAAACCTCACACACAATAATAGTAATAATAATCATAATGCAAGGACATACATGGAACAAACAAAGAATACAAGAAAAAAATTAATTAGAAAACTACAAGATATGAACAAAAAGGGAAAGAAAAGTAATTAAAGAGAAGAGCTGAGAGGGAGAGAGGGGCTTTGCTCACCTCGTGGGGAGCAGAAGACCAGGAATTTTCCAGCTGATTCTTGGGACAAAACCAATCCAAAGGCTCGAAATAATAATATAATAAAATTAGCACCAAAGAGAGGAGTAGCAGCCCCTTTCATAGCAATTGAGCTGATAATAATAACATAATACTGAAAACACAAATACTATAAACCCACCATCAAATAACAAACCTCTGTATATATATATATATATATATGAGAAATATGGAGAACCTTGGTACCAAGTTCTTTCATTGAACTTGGTAGTGAGGTGGCCAAATCTAGCCCCTACATCATGCCTCGGAGATGGAGCCTCTTTTTTAAAGTAGGTGAATAGTAATTGAGGCTCTCTCTCCGAGGCATGATGTAGGGTCTTGATTTGGCCACCTCACTACCAAGTTCAATGGAGAAACTTGGTACCAAGGTTCTCCATATCTTCTCATATATATATATTATGATTATAGTATATATATATATATATATATATATATATATATATATATTATATATGTTGACATATTAGTATAGTTAAGGGACTTATATGTAAGATGTGTTTTGTAGCGGCTTATATAAGCCATGTTATGTTACATCAATGAGATTAGGGTTTCTTTCAATAATTTTCACATGGTATCAAAGCCTCTCTAAACCCTAGACCGCCACCCTCCACCTTCACCCTCACCCCCCCCCCTTTTGCTGCTCCGATCAATCGCAGCCCCCCTAACAACCGATCTCCCCTCTGTCCGCATCTCAACCAGAGACCCCCCCCCCGACCCTCCTATGTCCGATCTCAACCAGACCCCCCCCCCGAGCCTCCTCTGTCCGATCTCAACCAGGACCCCCCCCCACCGCTCCTCATGTCCAATTTCAACCAGACTCCCTCCCGATCCCCCCCCCCTCTGTCCGATCAACCAGACCCCCCCCCCGACCCCCCCCCCTCTGTCCGCTCAACCAGCACCCCCTGATCCCCCCTGTCAGTCCTCCCTCAGACACCGAACCCTCCCATCACCCTTGACCGAACCCCCCCCCATCACCGTGTCGAACCTCGAGTTTGACATGGATTCCCTTGACTCAGTCCTCGAACTGATGACAAGAAGAGTATATATCTCTCGGCGATGAGATATATACTGTTTTTTATTCTTGTTTCCTCTGAGAAACGAGAGTTTGTCTGAGATCTTACTCTTGTTGTGCAGCAGAGGTGCTGCCGAAATTTTCACTACACACAACAAGGGTCGGAAGAGAAGGTGACCAGGTGTTGGGTCTGAAGCCTGTTCGATGGAGGAGATCATTAAGAAGTTAAACCTTGCGGAGGTGTCAACTTTGATGAAGCTAATGAAGTTGTCGGCTGGTGAGAGCGCGAAAAAACCATTGAAGAAGTTGGAGCTTCCGACCATCGATCTGAAGCTGGATGGACCTAGTACGTACCTGAGCTGGTCACGGCGGGTGAGATATTACTTGACAGGAGAGGCGACAGAACCTGAGGAGAACTCGGAGGGAAGAGATGAGTGGAAGTCCACTCATATGTTGGTGTACATATGGCTTCTCAACTCGTTGGTCCCGATGATCGCCACCATGGTGGATGGCATTGAGAAGGTGAAGGACGTCTGGGAGAAGTTGAGGAGGACATATGATGGAGTAGGGAATAACCTGCGGGTATTCCAGATTAAAGGAGAGATCGACGCCATAGTCCAGGGAGAGAGGACTGTACAGGAATATGCAACAGAGTTGGAGCGCATGTGGCTGGATTATGATTATTTTTCCCCCCGGGCTAGCTGCAAGGACCTGGGATGTAAAGAGCGGGAGGCCTTTCTACAGGAGAGGACTATGGTGTTTCTCAAGGGATTGACATCAGAGTTCGCTCAGCGAATCGCATTGCTGCTAGCTCTGCCGAAGATTCCCACGTTTGAGGAGGTTGTCTCTGCTATGATCCAGGAGGAGACTCGCATTCGGCTGCAGGCGGGGACAAGTGGACTTCCTGTGGTGAAGTCAGCACTGGCAGCCTCTAGCAACACTGGATCTAGGGGGGAGACTCGACAGTGCTACAACTGCGGTACGGTGGGTCATCTAAGGCATGCTTGCACCAAACCACCCAAGGAAGGAGACTCGGGTGGACGTGGACAGTTCGGAGGTCGTGGTCGTGGCCGTGGGGGTCGACGAGGTGGAAGAGGAGCAGGGAATCGGGAGAATCTGACGGTAGCAGAGGAAGAAGAAGCTGAGGTGGTCTTTACAGAGGAGGATCGTGCTCTCCTGACGATACTCAGGAAAAAACAGAAAGTAGCAGGGGATGGAGACTTGAGGAGTGGGACTGAGGAGGCATCCACTTCATTCTTCGCCAGAAGCAACACTGCTACCTATGCTCATCCGACCAAATGTACTGATGACATACAAGCTCTTGCTTCTATGTCTCCCGACAGATCATCAGAGTGGATAGTCGACTCCGGTGCGTCTCGCCATGTGACAGGTAATGCTAGTGAGTTCTCATCATATACTCACTTAGCATCGCCTGATAGTATTCAAACAGCTGATGGTACATTTCAGCCGGTGGTTGGTAAGGGTACAGTCGATTGTACTGGTTCTGTAACTTTGTCCAATGTTTTACATGTTCCTTCCTTTCCAGTCAATCTTTTATCCATTAGTTCTATCATCCTCCAACTAAAATATATTGTTTCTTTTGATATTCCCAAGGTGATCTTTCAGGAGAAGGGGACAGGACAGAGACTTGAGACTGGCACATGGCGTAATGGACTGTGGTATCTGGATCGTGAAGGGCTAGATTCAGCTTTGGTGTCAATGGTAGAGAGAGCAGGAGTAGGATCTGAGATGAGTGCTGAGAGTGTGTTGATGCTTCATCACAAACGCTTGGGACATACTTCTTTTGGTGTTTTAAGTAGGTTGTATCCATCTTTATTTGAGAAAGTAAATAAAGAGAAACTTGTGTGTGATGCATGTAAGTTGGGAAAGCTTACTAGAAGCTCTTATGTTAGTTCTGATCATAGGAGTTCTCATGCATTTGATATGGTACATTCAGATGTGTGTGGGCCTTGTTCTACAAGTTCTATGAATGGATACAACCTTCATTGATTGTTTCTCTCGCGTTACTTGGTTATACCTGATGAAGAATAAGAGTGAAGTGTTTGGCTGTTTTCAAAACTTTCATAGGTATGTTCAGACTCAATATGGAGCAGTGGTGAAGGTATTGAGATCTGATAATGGGACTGAGTACACCAACAGAGTGTTTGGAGAATACTTATCATCCCAGGGAATACAACACCAGACTACATGTCCATACACACCAGCTCAGAATGTGGTAGCAAAAAAGAAGAACAGACATCTTTTAGAGGTTGCTAGAAGTATGATGATCTCCATGAATGTTCCAGAAACATTGTGGGGGCAAGCAGTGTTGACTCCAGCGGTGCTGATCAACAGAATGCCCTTGAGAGTACTGGATTGGAAGTCTCCGTGTGAGACGTTGAAAGGAGATAATGGTGGGATTCTTCCACTGAAAGTATTTGGCTGTATGTGCTTTGTGAAGGATAACAGACCATCAGTCGGGAAGCTTGCCCCTAGAGCGGTGAAGTGTATTTTTGTGGGATATTCTGCTACTCAAAAGGGATATGTTTGCTGAAGCCCGATGGAGAAAAGGCTATTCGTAAGTATAGATGTGTGCTTTCGTGAATTTGAGCCATATTACACACAGAAGGTACCCTCATCTGTTGGTGACTCGCCCAATACTAGAAGTATGAGGCGATAAGGAGAGAATGGTGAGAGGCAGATGAATAATGTAGAGAATAATATGGAGAAATCGATTTCTCTAACGATTCCTTGGGAAGGAGAATTGGTTGAGGAGGAGCAGGAGAATAAAGAAGAAGAGGATAAGGAGACAAGAGGTGTTAGGCCCACGGCTCAGGGGGAGCTACTTACCTATAGTAGGAAGGGGAAGCAAATTGCAGAAACAGTACCTACAGTGCCACTAGTGCCAAGTCCCTTATCAACGCCTGTCCCGACTCTTGAGACACCTACACCACCATCAGATTCCTCTCAATGTGATATCATTCCTCTCCTTACTCCTCCCACACCAATGTCAGTACGGAGGACTACTCGCAGCAATGCGGGACATCCTCCCGATAGATATGGTTGGGATCTTGCCCAGTTTGTATCATATTCTAATATCCACCCTGCACATGGAGCATTCATTGCATCATTGGACTCTGTTACTGTACCTAATAATTGGTAGGTTGCTAAGAAGGACCCAAAGTGGAAAGAAGCTATGCACGAGGAGCTAGGAGCTCTGGAGAAGAACTGCACTTGGGAGCTAGTAAAACTACCAGAAGGGAAAAGAGCAGTTGGATGCAAGTGGGTCTTCACTGTGAAGCAGAATCCAGATGGACAAGTTGAGCGCTACAAGGCTCGTCTGGTGGCAAAAGGGTATAGTCAGACATATGGCATTGATTATGATGAGACTTTTGCACCGGTGGCGAAGATGAGCACTGTTCGGACCTTAATCTCTCTGGCAGTAAATGGTGGATGGAAGCTACACCAACTAGATGTCAAGAATGCATTTCTTCATGGAGATCTAGTGGAGGAGGTATACATGGATATACCACCAGGATTCGGTACAGATCAGACAGTGGGAAATGTCTGCAGATTGAAGAAGTCTCTCTATGGGCTGAAGCAGTCTCCTCGTGCTTGGTTTGACAGATTCAGATGGGCTATGATTGGTATGGGGTACCAACAGATCAACGCCGACCATACCGTGTTCTTTTGACGGAGTGGAGGCCACATTACCATACTTGCGGTATATGTGGATGATATGATTATTACAGGGGATAATGAGAAGGAGATTGCCCAACTCAAAATAAGACTGGGTAAGGAATTCGAGGTGAAAGATCTTGGTTTGCTTCGATACTTTCTTGGAATAGAGATAGCTCGAGGAGCGGAGGGAATCGTCCTATCCCAGATAAAGTATGCACTGGATCTTCTCAAAGAGACAGGGATGTTAGGGTGAAAACCTGCAACTACACCGATCGACCAGAAGTTCAAGCTAGGTGCTGAGGCTGGAGAACCAGTTGATCGTAAACCTGCAACTACACCGATCGACCAGAAGTTCAAGCTAGGTGCTGAGGCTGGAGAACCAGTTGATCGTAACAGATACCAGAGGCTGGTGGGAAGGTTAATCTATTTGAGTCACACACGTCCTGATATCTCTTTTGCAGTGAGCATGGTGAGTCGCTACATGCACGATCTGAGGAAGGGTCATATGGACGCTGTGTATTAGATTCTGAGATATTTAAAGAGTGCCCCCGGAAAGGGGCTGATATTCAGAAAGAATGGACATGTGAGCATCGAGGGTTATTGCGACTCTGATTGGGCTAGCTGTGCTGATGACAGGAGATCCACCTCAGGATATTGTATCTTTGTAGGAGGTAACTTGGTCTCGTGGAAGAGCAAGAAGCAATCGGTGGTAGCGAGATCAACAACTGAAGCAGAGTATAGAGCCATGGCCTTAGGAGTTGTAGAATTGTTGTGGTTGAAGAGTATGTTGGTGGAGCTGAAGCTGGATCAAGGAACCAAGATGAAGCTGTGGTGTGATAACAAGTCAGCCATCAGTATCGCCAACAACCCAGTGCAGCATGATAGAACCAAACACATCGAGATAGATAGGTTCTTCATCAAAGAGAAGTTGGACAATGGACTACTGGAGTTAAGTCATGTTCCAACTAAGGATCAGACAGCAGATTGTCTGACTAAGGGACTTAGCTCAGTAGATATGATTAGAGGATGTGACAAGATGGGCTTAGTGGATATCTTTCGCCCATCTTGAGGAGGAGTGTTGAAATAGTAATATGTTTAGGGGCTTATGTGTAAGTTGTAGGGGCCTATATAAGCCCATCTTATCTCATGAATAAGATTAGGGTTTTTATTTACAACACTTTTGTAGGAAATAGGCCATATCTCCTCGTTGTGGTTCGGTGAGGCTTGATCTGATATTGACCTTCTTTATTGCTCCTTGGTTGATATTTCATGGAACTCCTCGATGGAGGTTGTTCTCTCCCGCTTTAATTCTTTCTCCATTTAGAGGCGTATCTTCTCGATGAGCAGGGTCTCCAGTATTCATTTTCCCTTCATCGAGTGCAGGTAATAGGATCTAGCTTCTCGCTAGTTGCTTCTGGCAATTTCGACTCCTTCAGAAACTGGGGACTTCACCATCTAGTGGTAAGTAGACGGGATCACATGCAAGTTATTGAAGGTAATTCTTCCTAAAATAACGGTGTAAGTCGACTTGAGGTTCCGTTCATTACCACAAACTGGGTCTGGATGGTGAACTGCTGAGAGTATTCGCCGACCACTAAGGGGAGAGTGATTGTCCCTTTTGGTATAAGTGAATGTCCTATAAATCCAATGAGTGGACCTCGGCAATAGATCGCGCTCCTCCTCCTCCTCCTCCGCCATCAAGCCCTCCGCCATCAAGCAAATCCTCCTCTGCCTTTCTCTCGAGCTCTCTCCCTGGATCGCGCTCCTTCTCCTCCTCTGCAATCAAGCAGATCCGGTGAACTCCATTTATCTCGACCCCTCTCGCTCAATCCTTCCTCCAACGAAGGCTCCCCAAACCCCAGCCCAATTCCGCCACCATTTTTATTAGTTGGCTATTTTTCTTAAACACTTGTTTGATGTAGAATATCTATATTCTAAATGTTCATCACTTCAAAATTGATATATTTTTATTTGGAATGTTTGGTCGTAAATACGAAGAACGAGTTCGTGACCATGGAAGTGAACAAATTGGGTTTCAGTATGCACGGGCCTTTGGGAGTGCGTAGCTTAGTGTTTTGTGTTTGTCACGATTGGGAGTGACGATTATTTCGATTTCAATTTTTTTGGATGCTTAAGTGCGTATGTCCATGCACCGCATGAGAACGTGGGTGACTACACTCTGAGTGTGTTAGTCTGTAAACCACATGAGAATGTGGGCGGCTACACTTCGTGATGCATCATTGCTTGGGTGGTTGAGTGTGCATGTTCGTGCACTGCAAGATATCGCGGGTGACTACACTCCAAGTGCGTTAGTCCTTGAACAGTATGATACTGCGGACGACTACACTCTACATCGTTGGGATGCCTAGGACTCAGGCGAGCACTTTTTAGGGACATGGTCCGGCATTGTAGCTTTCATATGTTGCGATATATATACGTTGACGAGATTCACACAAGATTGTATTTTTTTGTTGTTGTGCCACCTACCCGAGGGTAGTGTGAGATACTACGATATGACATATACGACATATTTTTGGACGAGGTGTTGGTGATGTATTTTTTTTCTTTGTTGATTATTTACATATAGGATTGGAGTTGATATTTAGCGACCCACAATTTGAGATACATGGTATATATATGAGGGTTTTCTTGTTTGGATTATTCGCTCGACGTACTCATCTCGTGTTGTGAATTTCTAAATCTTAACTCCTCTTAGATTGCTATGATTGGTATTTTATACACCCTTCCCCTTCCCCTTCCCCTGGGGACGGTGGAGATATTCTCGCTAGCACTCTGACGCTCATTGTTTTTATCTTTTTCAGGTAGCGAGTTAGGATTTCGGAGGGTCGCAGGTTGACGGAGACTCATGATAGTTTACCATCATTCATAGGTAGTTACTTGGTGCTCCACAGTAGACTATTTATGGTTTTAATTTTAGACTTTTAGAGTTGTACTTCATTTTGGAGGCTAAGTGCCTTTGTACTTTTCAGTTGACTCTTATATTTTAGAAACTCATTGATCTTATTCTAGTTTACCAGATGTATTCTCTTTTTTCAGTTGGAACATAAATTATAGTTTTTATTGGATCTCTCAATATTTTGTTCTTTGTATTGTCATCTTTGTATATTTTCTTGTACCCTCACTTTTCTATATTTGACATTTGCTAGAGTGATATTAATGTGATGGTGAAATATGTTTATGCATAGTATTGGATGCATAGCAGGTTTGACATTTTTAGGTTCACCTTGGATTGCAGTTATGTGTGAAACCAGAGGTGTCACACTTTATTATTTGTATTATTTATTGAATGCTAATATAATTTTTAAGGATATTTAATAGCATATTATTTTAATTATAATATTAATTAATTTATTTTATTATAATTTATAAATAAGCATTTGACAATTTTATAAACATTACTCGATAAATTATGTATAGTTATTTTATAAAATAAATTTTCTAAACTACACTATTTTTTATATTTAATAATTATTTATAATAAATTATAACAAAATTTATAAATTTTCTTATCATTATAAAGTATTTATATTAATTATGTTCTAGTGAATACATAAATATGTGGGAAAGTGAGGAGGTCCATAATAAATAAGATGTTATGATTAATTAGTTAAATATTAATTATAAAGTATTATAATTAATGGTATAAGTGAAAATTAGCAAAATTTGAAAAGGTAAAAAAGAAAACCAAAAGTTTTAACATAAGTATTCTCTTAGAATTTTTACATGAAAATCACCTAACTTTTGTCCAAATTGATACTTACAATGTTTCCCTTTTTAGTATCAAAAGCATATTTGCTTGTTGTTATGCTTGCAATGTCATATCTTGATTCTCAGCTCAAAATGGCATGAACTGCAAAAATGCCCTCATCCATGCACGTCCGAGACACGTGTGGATCAGGAGTTCCATGGCTATTTAAGAGAGAGAGAGAGAGAGAGATGTGAGGGTCTAATGCCAAAATATGAAAGCTTTGGAGTACTAATATCTAAAACACCATTAAGTTTATAATTAATTAGTAACACATGCTTTAGGCTAGGGTAAAATGGCAACTACGTACGCGTTTTCCTTGAGCTGTAAAGTTAGTTTAGTGTGACATTACAAACGTAATAGCAAGTAAAGCTAGTATTGATAATAATAATAATAATAATAATAATAATAATAAAAGTTTAAGGTAATTTTCATGTAAAAACTCATTCTTTTTTACAAGTAGTGCATATGTATGGTTATACTTTTAATGACATAGAAGCATGATTCACAAGGGACATTATTAATTATATTAGAATTGTTGTAATATACTAAAAAAATAAAACAAGAGATAAGAGACAAGAGAAGAAGAGACATTATAATTTTATTCATTTAAATTCATTTCCATACATCGTACAATTTATAGAGACGTGATGGAAAACAAAAGAACATAAAGTTAATAGTCCACATACAAAGTAATGTCCACATACATTTTGTCTTTTAGATATCAACAAAATGTCTTTTAGATTTCAACACCCCCTTGGACGTTACTTTGAAATGTCAATACCTCGTTAAAAACCTCCCTAGAAAAACCCAGTGGAAAAAAACTAGTGCGTAATTCCCAACACTAGGAAGATTTTAGTGGCAGTACACTTTGCTGGCAACTTCACACTGAAAATGTTTTGGTTGGATGTGGATCGTGTTAAGTGTATACTAAATCACGAAAATCTCTTACCCTTTACATTGACCCGCAAGACCTCATACAACTACCAAAACAATTAGATGCATCACTTGTGAACCTTCTGATGAATCCCAGACCTGGACTAAAATGTCCGTATATGAATACAGATACTTAGCAAAGAGCATTCCAAAAATGAAAAAAAAGATGAAGTGGCGCAACAGTTAGGATGGATAGGTTGAAGTAAAAGAGAAACATTATGTCCCTTGTCGACGCAAATGACAATTCTGAAGCACAAAATGAAGCCTGGCAAATGAAATTCAAACAAACCAAAAAAATTACAAGCGAGCAATTGATTCAAAAGGCAGAATTTGAGAAACATTCTCAAATTGACAAGTTGCACGAGCAGCTACTCAGGATTTACCGTGCTTAAGATGATTTTCATTAGCGCCCGCAACACTCAAAAAGACTTGGATTCTGTTAGAACACGTTCAACATAATGGCAACACGGATAATGAGTACGATGAGTTGTGGTAATATAAAACAAAACAGTGAGTGATAACAGAGCCAAAAAAAGAAAATAGTTCCCGAACGCTCTCCCGTTATGATGTTAAAGGTGCAAGTCCTTCAATATGATGATCCACGGCCAAGTACTGCACTGTGGCATACCCTCCAATACTCCCAACAGCTGATTTGCATCCAAGGCAGTGCTTGCCGGTGATCAATTTGCAATGAAGCTGGAATTCTGTGGAAGTTAAACAATTCAATGTTGGCATGAATGAATTAAAAAGCATAAAACTACGACAAAAGCATAAGCAGGCAATAATCACCTCTGTCCACTAAGAATCCCAAAAACTGATGGTCCACCAATCAATGGCTTAAGCCTTTGAAACAGATTCCTGTAACTAGGTGAGACGATTTGCACTGCAGTGTTTTGTATCAAAATTTCAGTACTTGCAGATGAACTGTAGAAACCTAAGTAAAAGCTCCAATCAACTAATGACTTCAAACAATTATTTCAGTAAACGTATATCATACAAACTGTAGTTTGGTCAAGATCCCTAACGTTCAAAATCCCATTATAAATCATTTTTACTGCATATACATACGAATTCTGAATCCATAATGGTGACAGTCCGCCTGATCCTGAGTTATCATTAGCTTTATCCTGAACGTCAGAGCAAGAAACCTTTGTGGATGCATTTTCATTAAATGGTTTAGCCTCAAAATGATATCTCATGGGTTGAGAACTAAGCTTGGGACGTTAGATACGTTGACAGCTTACTTCCATCCTACAAGCAGGGTTTTAAATATGGGATCCTGAAATCTATATCAGATTGTGGATAAAGGGAAAATATCGAGGATATATATAATAAATATCATGGTGACATATCGATGATGTGAATATATAATATAATGTCCTACAATGTGATGTGAACATACTTACTGAAATTTGAGCACTAAAAAAATATAAATAATATATGTTTAAGACCACTCACCAAGTGTAGAAACTTACTTTGTGAAAACAAACTTAGGGGAAAAAAGCCTACTAGAATTTTTCTCAAAATCCTCACAGGGCTGGAATCTTTGTTTAAAATATTAAAGAAATTATATAGAACTATATTTTTGTACGACAAGCCATAATGCTTGGCTCCTCCAACTTGTTACCAGGGGGAATGGATGAACGATATATCGGCCAACATATCAGCTGATATATTGGACATGTTGGGGATATATCACCCAAAAAATTAAAAGATATTTGGACCATATTGTTTTACAAGAAGCCTTATAAAGGATATATCGGGCCGATGTATCAACTATACTGGGATATTTAAAACAATGCGTACAAGTAATACGGTCAAGCCCAAGGAACTATGTAGACTTCCTATTCAAAAAAGAATAATACTTCAACACTGAAGTATGAAATATAAAATAACCTGGATGTCACTTGGCAATGGGTTACGTAAAGGTTCAAGAAGGGTTAACCCACACATTAACCAGGTGAAGATAAAGAGAACAATGTACTTGTATTAAGGAAGATGAAATTCAAGATTAAAAATTAAGTGATTTCACATATCAACCTCAACTATTTGGTATTTTGAAAGTTTAATTTCCAAATCTTACTATTTACAAGTTCATTTCACAAGTCGTACTGACGACTTTATAGCTGATCTCCTTCTTTAATCGGAATGGATTAACTAGCTTACCTATTTTTCTTACGTGCCTTAAACTTCGGAAATCAAATCCTTAAGGTTTCTTATGTGTGCGTATCCTATAAACTTAAGTGGTTAAAAGCACTTGTCCACCAACTTTTTTATCCATTAGAGTTGCTTTGAGATTTGTGCTAGCATGTGATGCAAATCAATGCACACATCTCAAAGATACCCTTCATGTCTTGCACAAATCTCAAAGCAAATCTAATGGAAAAAAATGTTGGTGGACAAGTATTGAGCTATATATATATATATACATATATATATATATACAACGCAACACAAGTCAATATCTACATGAACTTGTGTGCATGCACAAGTCAAAATCTAGATGGACAAACGTCACGACGAAACTACAACCTCTAAAGTAACCAAATAACAAGAAAACCTACGTCATAGGAAAAATATCAAGAAAGTCTGTAACTTTTTCAGGAATCAATCACATAATTAATTGATGGGAGGTTCTTACGATAAATTGCTACTAAAACTTCTCTCCAGATATACCTCAAGATAGTCATGATTACAATCCTCCACCAGGTGTCTTTCAAAAGAAAGTGATGATAAATAGGACTGTCATTTTCTTGTCAGGTTACACCAAAGAAAGCGCGGAAACAGAGATATCCTAGGACCTAGCCATTGTGTATTAATCCTTCCTCAAACAGAAAATTCTTCCCATTTGAAGGTGATAAATACAATAAATTCATTTCACTTTCTCAGATTCTCTTCCCTGTTTATTTAACTATTCTGATCATTTTTCACAACAAAAACATGATAATTGATACAAAGTTAAATGAATGTGAAAATCTGACCATCTACAACTACAAGTAACATATATATTAGTGAGCAGGCAGACCATCGTTTTACCTATGGTAGCATAGTTGGCATGGAGAAGAGAAATCACAGTATTTGGCACCCTGATGTTCCATGTATCACTTGTTTGCCTTTTGTCCAATCCATGATGACCAGACATGATTTCAAACCATATCCCAGATGAAAACCTCTTTTTCCTTGCCACCCATAGTAACAGTTCCGCATAGGGGGTAGCATGAAGGATGGAAATACTTATCTCAATTACAATACATGTGAAGCAGACAATGGCATTTAAGATAGTGAAGAATATGTAGAACACCGAAGTCGTTGGTAGCAACAGTAAGAGAGGCGTAAAGAATAGGGCACCGACAACATGTTGCTCCACGGTATAATCATAACTATCTAACCTTTGCCTAAGAGGATTCCATTTTCTTCCCCTGCCATCAAATCATAAAAGTCGGTTGGCTTAAAAAACAAAGATATCTGAGGATTGAAATAGTAACTAATTCCTTCAAAAGGATATATTTAGGAAAAAGTAAATGTGCTATAGAATCGAACAAACCATAACAAATGCATTCATATGAAAATGCTAATAGATGAAAAAGTACAAGTCAAAATGATCAGGCACAAAGTAAAACTCACTGAACTAACAGTATATCACATACAAAAGGGGCAGTTTGTTGATGTCCATGATTTAAAACATTGAATCTAATGATAAGAGTGTAATTTTATTCCAGATACTTTATCATAGAAACATAGTTTAACATTGATTAATCTGAATATATGTTGAATAATAATAATAATAATATAATCCTCCCTAGTAAAACCTATTCACTACTCTCATACCTCTAAACATGTCTCCTTTCCAATTTTACCAAATCATAGCATTTCTATTTCAAAACCAACAGTAACTATAATTCAATCCATGCATTTCAAAACTAGTGACATGAGAATAAAAGAAAGGGTCTTTTCAATATATCCCAAAAATCATAGGTATTTTTAAATTTGCTTGCCAACCAGTAATAATTTTAAATTGCCTCTCAAATTGTTTTCTTCCCTCAAAATTAAACTCTACCCTAACTTACGTTAAATACTTAAACACTTGTTAGGGTTAAATTACCTAATTAACACTATTTTAATTAGTTTTCTTCCAAAAATCAGCGAAGTTAAATTCATTAATATTTTAAACCAGATCATTTAGTAACTACAATATCAGATCACCTAACCCTCGTTCTGTTTCTATCGCTTTCACATGGTATCAGATCACAAACAGATCACCTAACCATAAATCTGTCGCTGGTTGATGATCCCTGTAATCAAAATATTGTAGCCGATCTAAGCTAAACTAAAGCTTGTCCCAGGGTCAATCGAGTTATCAGATGAGCTTTGTAAAACTAGAATAAAGCTTTCGCCCGGGGTTAATCAAGTTATCAGATGAGCTTTGTAAATTTGGACTCAACCATGACATGTTTTGCAACCAAGTTGAGGATCTCATTTGAACCCAAAAAGACAACTCTTTGATTTCCAATGGAGTATGATTTTCTTTTCCAAGTGTTTCAGAAACCACTCTCAGCAGAATGTCTACTCTGTTAGTGTCTGCTTCTTGTGTCCAACACTTCTCCAATGGATCGGAATTTACATGACAGAGAAAGTAGAAGGAACGAATGTGAGAGAAGCAAAAAAGCAATCTTAATTTTAAGAGCAGGTTGAGTTTTGTAGTTTCTAATGCATTGGGTTTAGAATTTTAATGAATTTAAGTTTATCTAGCTCATTATTGAAGAAAACTAAATAGGAAACTTAACCGAAAAAAGTGTTAAGAATTTAACAGAAGCTAAGATGGATGGTAATTTAGCAGGAAGAAAACAATTTGAAAGGTAAATTTAGAATTTCTATGATTTGAAGGGAAAATTTAAAAATACATATGATTCAAGGGGTGTATATCCAAAAACTCCTAAAAGAAAAGTGCTAACAATTAACTATCTAATAAGCTCCGTTAATGTAACTAACACAAGCCTTTGGTCTTTTGTTAAAAAATTGTGAATTGTTTTTGAGATACTGTCACAGTTCCGCTGTAACTGCAGTTTCTTATGCAGCTGCAACTTCAAACAGTGGTCACTTATTTAAGAAATTAGGTCAAAATGTCTGCTAGACGTTTTTGTAAAAATTGTCTCATTCAGCAATATATATTTCTAAACAAAGTGCATTTTCGCAGGGGGAAAAAACAATTGCAAGTAACAACTACCCTTTGTATTGCAATTGCAATCGCAAGTGTCAATGTTCTAAACAACTCCTTAATTGTGAGTATGTGGGAGACACAGGCATGTGCAGGCACACAGCAACAGGTATGTGTGCCCGTGTATGAGCGTTCATGCGGGCGCGTTGCGTCCCTGGACCCGCCTCGAACCGTCGTATAGTTCCTACGAACCGATTCCTGGTACACCTGTGAATCGATTTACTCTGACAAACGAATTAGTTCCCCAAAATTGGCGTACCGGCCAGTATGCTAGACACAAAGCCCCTTTGTGCATATGTGCAAGACGCAAGGCCATGTGCGAAATCGAGTGAAGAGAGATGCAAAATAGAATATATGAGTCAACGACTTTACTGTAACTTGATTCCTATGCTAATAAAACATGTTCTGAAAACATCATCCTAGCACGAACAATGTGATAATAAAAACATGAAGGAAAAAAACTCCCAAAAGAACAGAAAAAAGAAACTCATTGGAAATGTAGAAGCCAGTCGCGCACGTGAGACAGAGACACAGAGAGAGAGAGAGAGCAAACTCTTAAAAATATTGAAATCCATAAAGAGAAGCATTTAAATATTTTGTATTAAAAATATTGAAATCCATAAAGAGAAGCATTTAAATATTTTATATTAAAAATATTGAAATGCATGATTAACTTTTTAACTTCCAGTTTTCCACTATAGACTTTGGAAACTGGTAAGCGCACCCAAAAAAAGATTTAAAGTGTATCATGTACCAAACTTGTATATCAAAGCAAGCTACCCATCGAATCTAAATTTTTGTAAGTTGCGAATTGCGCACCCAAATTCATGCCACGATTCTCTATATACTGCATACTATGTAACTATGATCAATGTTTTAAATATCGACCGATAAACTGATATTATTGGCGATTTATCGGTTTTGGAGGCCTTCCGCTATGATAAGTTCCATTATAAATCGGTTATCATTTTTTGGATATTTATCGTCGATAATGAGGCGATAAAGTGAGTTATTAGCCAATATTGTCAGCCCAAAAATCGGAATTATCGACCTTTGATTTGAGTTTTGATATCGAGCAACGAGCACTATTCAATGCACTTTAAACCCAAACCCGACCCTTTCTACCATTAGTTAGTGATCCTAAACATAATTATTTACATTTTGGTATGTTTATATTACATTAAATATGGTTAGATTATATTTTAAAAAATTATATTATGTATATCACCATCCGGTAATGTCACTCCGATAAATACTACTTATCCCTGATATATCCTTGATATTGGCTTTCCGATATAAATTTTGACCGTCCGATAAATCCCAATGACCGATATTTAAATCCTGACTATGATGTGTGTCATGTCTCTTCTCCGTCAATGTTCCCTCAGACATTACATGCATATATATCAAACTGATCCTACTTCATACTCAAACAACCATGTCAGCTTGTACCTGAGTACCAATCTGATTCAGCCAACTACTCCCTCTCATGTACCCTTCAAAGTAGCATATCCATTATTCAACAGCAGTACAAATAAGATTTAAAGCACAAAAAATGTGACTAAGATTTATTGACTGTATGTGATATGGTAACTTAGAACAACTCTAAAATGAAAGAGATGTGTGCAGAATGACAATATATAAACGAATAAATTCTAAACGAAGTTGTTTTAGTATTTCAACAAATAAACAAGTAAATTCTAAAGCGGAATCCACAATTATGATGAGGATTATTGAGATCATATGTTGATGATCATTTTCAACAACCATAAGATGACAGAAGACAATAAACCATCAAACCAAACATATTAAGAAAATGAAAAGAGAAGTTCCAAAGCTAGGAATGTTGCAAGTCAAGAGACTAAGAGATTAAGTATGGTTTATCCCTTCAGAAACTAAGAGATATAAAGATTGTATTCTTGGCAAGACGCTGTCAAAAACTCACTGTTTTAGGCAATCTAAGACATTTCAGGTTATGTTAAGAAGAGGTCACAAAATACCAATAAAGCAGCAGAACAAGAAGTAACGGAAAATATTTAACTAAAATGATGTGGAGTACTAAAATCAGGCAGAAAAATTAAGCTAACCCTCGAAATATGACAATTCCCATCCTAACAAATTGCAAAAATAATACTTGATACAAGCTTCAATCTTAAATAAAGGTTGGCTACTAGGTTTCCCATCAATCACAGATAGTGTTTTTTGCATATCCCTATATCATCTATATTTGCAAATTTATGCCATTAATCTTGATATTTTCTAATAACCCGCCAAAGCTTCAATGTTAGATAAATCTACCACCCTACCCCAATTAAAATTGTAGCGAAAAAGTATATCTCTTTCGTGTTATTAGGTTAGGATATGAAATTAGGTAATGACTAAAATACCTCAGATTGATTAATTAAGATTAATGACACCACATTAACCCCCCCCCCCCCCCCAAAAAAAAATAAAATAAAATAAATAAATAACCTTTCTCTTTAGGCCGATGTTCCCCACCTTACCAGTTCATCTTCACTTCTTCTCACTAAAATCCTAATGTTCCCCATTAAAATACCTCAATTAAATCTCGTTGCTTCTTCTTCCTCCTCTTGTAGTGTTGGCACATCGAGTGTTTTGAGGAAATGTCAGTGAGAATGAAGTGCAAATGTAAAAATATTTCACTTTGATGGCAACCACTGAAAATGCTATTCTAATTGACTGTTTTCCTAGTGCTTGAAACCATTTTTTTTTCAATTTTCTTCTTGACCAGCATAAAATTTGATTTGAGAGTGGTTGCATATCTTTGCCTTTTCAAATGTGAAAGTGCAAATGAAATGAATGAAAAGCCACTGAGAAGTCATGTTGTTTTCACTCTGCCATGTTGGCCTTCTTGTTTTGATGATGTTTAACAAATAATTTACTTCTAATGTTGTTTGTCTAGTGTTTGTGTTTTCGTATTTATTCTAGGCAAACAACGAGTTGGAGGATGGATGGAATAGAGCTTCAACGATCATATCCAATGGAGGTTGGCGGAATAGTGGAGTGAAGCCTTGCAATTCAAAGTTAAAGATCAAGTTCAAGCTTCATCCGCGAAATTACCAAGAAGAGCTTATTGAAGACCAATCAAGCTTGAGTAAATTAGTTTAGGGCTTATATTATGTGTGTTAATACTTCAAGCTCAATATCACACACACACACACACGTTTGTCAAGCTCAATATCACACACACACACGTTTGGTTTGGTTTATCGTCGTTTTGGATTATAGACTTAACGACATTATTTTATATCTTTTATCAAGTTTATAAATTTATTGAAAAGTTTTCAAAACTTTGTTTAAACTCATTTTGTCAAGATCAAGCTTTTACAAGTCCATACTTATGTGATTTTACAAAATAATAAGATTCCACAATTGGGAAATGAAAATTGGAAAATTATTTTTTGTAACATATTAAAAATCACATTTTCAAATATTTCCCAAAGTTTCATCAAGTTTGAAATTGATTTGTTACGTTTAATTGAATTTACAAAATCATGTTTTTCGTTCGTGCATGTACGTGCATGTTTTACAAAACAGATGAGTTTTCATAAATGGGAAGTGATATTCAAGAAATTCTTTCTTTGACATGTTTATCTACATGTTTAGAAACTTCCCTCAAAATATTACTATTTTTTTAGTTGATTTACTGTGCCAAATTGATTTTACAAAATCGTGTATGTCAGCAGATTTTCAGAAACTGTATATCTGTGTTCAAACATTTATTTCAGCAGATTTTCAGAAACTGTATATCTGTGTTCAAACATTTATTTCTCTCAACTGGGAAATGCTTTTTCAGAAATTCTTTCTCTAACATGTATATCTGTGTTCAAACATTTATTTCTCTCAACTGGGAAATGCTTTTTCAGAAATTCTTTCTCTAACATATCATTCTACATGTCTAGAGCCTTCCCACAAAATTTCATAATTTTTGGAGCTGATTTACTATTTTTAATTGTTTTTACAAAGCTGATATGCAGTGCTACAGTACCCACGGTCGACCGCCACGGTCGAGCGGTCGACCGCCAAACTCTCTGGAAGTTACTCAGCTTTGTATATGCCTCGCGGTCGACCGCGAGAACGTCACGGTTGACCGCTGCGCTGTCTTTTCCATCCTAACGGTTATTTTCTTGCAGCTGTTGGTTGGGGCTTTTTGGTGTTTTGTTTGGGGTTTTTGGCTGAGGTCTTGGGAGGTTATAAATACCCCATTGATCTCAGTTCTCAATTGAAAAAAAGAAGTTTTTAAAAACAAGTTTTAAACAAGGGTTTAAGTGTGTTTTAGTGTTTGCTTGGTTTATGAAGAAGTTTTCACAAGTGGAGGAGATCATCTTCTTGTTTGGGCTTCAATCTCCATCTCTCCATTTTGTTATTCATTGAGAAGTATTCTAAACTCTTATCTAGCTTTATATTTTCTTAGTTATTTGATTATCATTCTTTAAAGCTAGCATTTATATTGAGTTTAGATTTGATTTGATTTCACTCATTGTTTACACACACCCACATTGAGCTTATTGTAATTTCACTCATTGTTTACACACACCCACATTGAGCTTATTGTATTTTCATACATAGTATATTTGGGGTTGGTGAGAGTTGTAACAATTGAGTGTGAGCTTTTATTGTGTTCTCATCCATATTAGAGAAAAACCATTTGTTGTATTGTGCTTAATCGTGAGATCACTTTGTAATACACTTGTACACCAAGAGGAATGTGTGGTGAGAGTCGGGGATCGTCCCAAGAGGAGTGGCGTCGGTTGACGAACCTAGGAAGAGGTTGTAACCGAGCACTTGAGGGAGACACGGCTAGGTCCAACACTTGTGAGGGTGTAGAGTGGGTTTGCAAGAGTGTAAGTTGTAGAGTTTTCGATTAGCTAGAAAAACGAGTGTGTAGAAGTTTTGGCTTCCAAACCGGATTGTGATAGTGGATTTCTTCCCGGGAGTGAAGAGCGGAGACGTAGGACGGAAGGTCCGAACTCCGTGATCATTTGATTGTGTTTTGTGTGTGCCTTGACGTTTATTCTTATTTGTGCTCATTGCTCATTTCGCCATTGTCTCACTATTTAGTTTGTCCACTATCTAGTTCATATTGTTTACCCTTGTGTTAGTTTGTATATCCTTACATATATCATATTATATATCTCTTTGGTAGGATATATCATCTTGTGCTAGTTTATATATATCCTTGCATATATTTATCATATAGGATATATCTCTTTATTCATATTGCTTATTCTTGCTTATAACTCTTGTATATCTATCTTGCAAGAATATACTTGTTAATTAATTTTAATTGGTATTTAAATCGGATTAGATTAGCATAAGATCCTAATCACCCCCCCTCTAGGGTCTAACATGCCATACCACTGGAACTATATTCAACAATCATTTGGTTGAATTGTTCGCTTTCCTATGTACTAATGGAATTAACTGCCTCCTAGTGCAGTATGTATAAAGAATACTGAACTTCATTAATCTTGCTGAAAGCAAGCATCTTAGCAGAAGTGGTACAATTGATAGGCTCTGTTTGTTTAATTGAGTAAAGGGGTAGGAAAGTAAAACCCCTATTCCACCATTTCCTAAGTAACTCTGTTCAGGATGAGGGTAGATTTATTCAACGTTGGATTTTCAGATATATTAGCAAATTTTTAGATTTTGTGTGTTTCGGGGGGTGGGGGGGCAAGTTTGTAAACAAGGATATGTTGTTGGAGAGGCTGTATTGAAGTTGGTCAATGTCGTCGATGGTTGAATAAGGTTCCGAGAGGTGTGTCGATAGGGTCTAAATTCTTAAACCTGGTGACTACACAAACACCAACGTGATGGGTTGAGACATTAGAGATGAAAATCAATCTCTAAAGGGGTTATCTTAGTCCCCAAGTGATCAGATCACCCGACGAAGGAGAAGAAGAGTTGATGAACTATCGAAGAGCTTGAGTAACCTCAAATATAGAAGGGAGCGCACAGGTATAGGTGCAAGAGCTGAGAGAGTCTCTCAACACTTGGAAATGAGAAAAATTTGGAGCCTTCTGTAAGAGCGAGGGGGTTGCTATTTATAGGCAAATGGGGATCTTGATTCTTAACTGGTGCGCGTCTTCATCTACGCGGCCTTCACGTGTGCATCCATCCTTGAAATGTGTCGAATCAACTGGTTTGCTACTAAGTGCCTCACCAAAATTTTTCAGAATTTGTCTGCTGAGAAAGTTTCCCTTTTTGACAGTATTAGGGACATGGAACCAAAGCAACAGCGTTTAGTCTAAGGTGCGTCGGAATAAGACGAAAGTTAGTAATCATCAATGAAGTTTCACTGTTTGGTACGCTTACAAGGCAGGGCACCAAGATATAGAGGTGCACAACCATTATGACGCTCTTTTGTTGATCTTTTGACTTCGTCTACATCTATATGATGATGTGATTATCTAGAGTTGGTTGTCATCTTAACATATTATTCTTTCCTTCAATAGCTCTTGAATTCCTTCACTAGAGCCCCTTTCACCTGTGAGCCCCTGGGCATCACTTCTGTGAACCCCCTATCTATGTGCCCCATCTTTGGCGTGCCCCCTGTTACGATTCTAACTTCGTTTTTTATCTATCTTAGTCATTTTAAAAGATTGAAATTCCAACTCTTCATTGGTGCAACCCTTCATTGGTGCGCCCCACCTTGGCATGCCCCCTGTAGAGTGGTCATCCGACTTTTTCATTCATGAGTCCCCCTCTAGTATGGGCGCACAGATGTTTTTCATTCTTCAAGCCCTTTTCTGAGCATATTTTAGCTTTAGATTTGAGGTCCCTTCCCTTAGCTAATTTGCGTGCTCCCTCGTCACGCCTGATGAATTTCCGGACTTTATCAAATGACCAAAATGCCCCGGTAGAGTTCACATTTATATCGAGTTGATTCCCTTTGATGGCCTACAGGATGAATTGAGGGTTATATATGCAAAAAAAAAAATCCTTACAAATCCAACAGAAATAACAAGCGGGGCTTAGACTTCGTCACTTCGCCATTGTTGGTTGGGAGAAAACCTCTTGTTGGTTGTTTGACATGTTAAAGTTGAAATTCTTTTAACTGTTACGTCAGAATTTTATCAATCTGACATGATAGATGATTTCAACATGGTAAGGAACAAGGTTTATCCCAATTTCATTCCACTTCCTACGGTTTTGTCTCTGATTCTGTCAAGAATACCTCAATTTTCAATTTCGCTATGATTTGGCTAATAGACATTTGTATAGACTAATTTCAGGTTGATTCCTGATTAGCCCACATAATTTCATTGTTTCGGATGAAAATTACTAAGAACCAACAAAGCCAACAAAAGCGATTAAATTAAAGGGAGAAAAGAGAGGCTAGTATTCCTAGTTTATAAAATCCTCTCCCTTCAAATTTGATAGTTATCACAAATTTAAACCCAATACGTCATAAGCTTATACGTTGTTAATTAACTTTGATTGTGATTTTAATGCAACTTCAAATTAATGACAATTATAGTAAATTGGATTATTTAGCACCCACTTAGTTTACATATTTATTTATATAATTATATGGACTTCAAACACTATGCATGCAAAGAACCAACAGTTGGTCAATCTAATAGTCATGAACGAAGTCTTTAAAACTAGCAAAAACTTGTCTAAACCTTTTACACAACTAGCATCCCAAACTGAAACCAAGTTCTTGAAATCTTGGAACAGAACCTTAGGAAGAAGCTGGAGAATATATATAGCAATAGCAGCCTTCATTATGAAATCAGTTCTATGTTTGAGTGTTAAAAGTCATTTAACTCCACAACACCACCTTGGACATACAATTTTATATCTGAAAATACCAAAGACCTGTACTTTTGCTCATGAACATAGCTTGCTACATGAGCAATGTTTCTTAGCACACGTTAATGAAAAGTGAAAACTGTGTCAAGCAGCACAAAGAATGAAAAGAATTGTATAACACTATCCAAGTGGGTAACTAAGATGGAGCTAACCTAAAAAGGCGCCACAAAGAAGCCAAAGCCTGGATTTGTTGTGAATACAGAAGTGACATCAACCAATGCAGTGTTTGTACATGCAATGTTGCAACTTTAAGCATGTCTATACATAGAGCAGCAGGAACAGTCAAGCCTAAAATGATTCCAGAAAGCGCAAGGCCTTTGATGAAATGCCACCAAAAGAAACCCAGAAAGAACCACAGGGTAGAGAAAATTTGAATTGCATTGAGTGACACCATGCCAAGAAGCTCTGCTAGTTCCCTGTTCAGCTTAAAGCCTGCTGGAATTCCCATCAACCACACACAACCAGAGCACAACAAATTGTCGGTTATATTCTGAGCAATAAACAGAGTCCCAGAGTAAACATATTCGATGTCAGATAATACTACCATTCCAAAAACATTTCCCAAAATCACATCAATGGCAACGCTAGACCAGACACAGTGCTTCCTTAGTGCAGTCATATGTGCATATTCAATATTTGATTGCTCTCTATTAAGCCAAGAAACGACTTGTGAGTTTTAAGAAAATCGTGAGATTTCAAATTTCAAGTAAATGTTAACATGATATGCAATTTTGTGTTTACCTGAAACCAGTACCCAGAACAAAGATTGGCCAATAAAGAAACTGACAACAACGAATGTGAATATTCTTCCATGTCTGTGTAAATACCTTCTGTGGTATTATTGAAAAGAATGTATGTGCTCCAAACTTCAGAAATCCATGAAACAACTGAAGGACAACATACATGACCATAGACATGGATGCCACAAGTACTGCAAGCACATACCATAACATAGATAACAACCTAAGAAATCCACATACCACACTGAGTAAGAAATTAAATATATGCTTAGAGTAAACGAGTTCCACAAAAATTATGACAACCTGGATATAATATCGAAGTTGATTGCAGGACCTGTGGTAGTTGAAATCCCCTTTAGAGTAACCATAGCAGCACTCGCACAGTTAAGAGCCCACACCACTGCTTCCTGCAATTGACAATTCAACTAACAGGACTTCATTTCAACTGTTTAAGTTTAAAAGCAGCAAAAGGTGAAAATATCTAGAGGAATAGAAGTTGATAGACTTGCCAAGTTAGGAGCTGCAGATCTTTTGTGAAGCTCATTAAACCAATTGGGCGTCTTGGAGGGCATGACTGCCTGCTTGCAGTAACCCCAAGTTCTCACCGAAAAATGATGTCTACCATAGGTTGGAAGCTCATAAAATATCAGCTGAATCAATAAAAGAGAAGAATTATCTACAAGACAAATAGTCAGATTCTAAAGATCGGTAATGATCGTTTCCTGACTTACATACGTGGACGTCGCAGTTGGACCAAGAAAGATCACTCTGATGCATGTGATGGAACTCCGGGGTCCATCTGGAGTTTTTACATGAGATTCTTTGACAACTTACTAGCAGCTGAATCCAGTTACCCAAAATCTCCCTATAAGGTTCCACGGATGGATTTAGGATCTGACAACCACAACTCCGACGTTTATGATTCTCCATACACGATGCTGCAGAAAATGTATTTTCATTTCCATCTTCAGAGCTGATGGTTCTTGTGACACCATTTTCTACCGACCCATGGAATTGTTTGCCTTTCCAAGCAAGATCACCTTGATGGTTTTGCATAGTCACGACATCTCCCTTCCTGCTGCGTACAGTACATTGCCCAAGCATACAGAATGATGAGGCTTCTTGTAGTGGGATGGGCATCTTCAAGTTTATAGAATGAAGAAATTCCTACCTCGTCATCAAAGAATCAGACTGAGAAGTTATTCTTAATGAAATACGATATTTGATTTTTGTTAGTCAAGAAAGGCATACAACATATTATAAGAATAAAACTCCAGTGAGAAAGGATAAGCAAAGCAGATCACATAGAACAGATAATCGCACACGACTTGCAAGTAAAGTCTTGAGTATGATAACATCACCTAATTGTGGATCTTTATCATTATTGTTTAAACATTAACAATCACATGGTTTGCCCCTTTTGCACACGAAAACCTTAGTTTGTATGGGAGGTGTTCAACCTACCCTAATTTTGACTTAATAATCCTTCAAAGCCTCCGGACTACGAAGACATCTGAGGAAAAAGCAGCATACGAGGGTGGGCGTCTTTATTGAAAATTCGGTGGGATTTGCACAAATGTCCATGTGATATTCGATCATTATTGCTGTGGAGATATGTTGTGGTCAAGCTGTGTCGGAATTATCCAACAAGACACGGGTTGAAACTATAAGTTCCAAATATCACCAACCAAGAAACTTATATAGATGATGTACACGTGAGGTTTCATAAGACTAAAAAAGAGTAAACCAGTAGATCATAGCACAACTAATTGAGAGCTACGAAAACGAACCTGAAGCTCTAGTCGCTGCTGACCAAGAGCTGGTGAAATCATCTCAGCCGCAGAAGTCGCATGAGCGATCACAACATCGAGCGATCTTGAGGAATGAAAGCACCAGCCAAACAGTAGCAGGTCGGAGCTCGGCTCCTGAGACGAGAGATGCATCGGCCACCAAATCCTGCATTGCTTTCTCAGCATCCTTCACATCACAATCGTGTCTACACCGAGGGCAACATCATCAACAAAAAATACATCAAATTGGGAGCAGATCTAAGGGAATGGGACAAGTTGAACCTCTAAAAATAGGAAGGCTTCGATTGATTTCAAAGTGAAGGGAGAAGTTGGGGGATCTGTAGAAAGTTTGAGCGGCTAGAAATTAATGAAGAACAATACAGTGGAGGAGACGCAATAGATATGAGAGGGGAAATTGGTAAAAGCGTTTCGGCCGCGGACAGCAACATCGATCGCGCTGAGACATGGGAGGAGTAGGGTTAAACAAAGGGAAGTGGGCGAGAGCATCACCTGCTCACTTCCTCAAACGGGTAAAATAACACTAGACCACAAGGAACTCTCAGCGTGTTTTTGCTGCAAAACGCCGGTAACTTCTACTTACGGGCTGTTTGGTTATTTCCAAAAAAACCAAAAAATAGAAATGAAAACCAACATAACTCAAAAAGTACAATTTTATCCATTTTCATCCCTAAAATTTACCCACAACATCTAATAAAATATTATTTTTATCTAACAACTCATTCACCACATCTAATAAAATATTATTTTCATTCAACAACTCGTCCACCACCTCCACCACATCTAATAAAATATTATTTTCATCCAACAACTCATCCACCACATCTAATAAAATATTATTTTTATCCACAACATTACTAAGGGGCTGCTTGGAAAGAGGTTTTTTAGGGGGAAAGGGCTGGAAAGCCTGCCAAAACTCTGCCAAAAGTGGCAGGCTTTCCACCCAAATCGCCTCTAAAAGAGGCGATTTTGGTGGAAAACATGTCAAAAGCTGCACTTTTGGCAGGCTTCCCCCTACCCAAATCGTAAACAAACAGCCCCTAAACTCATCTCATCTTATCATTTCAAATCACTCACATCATCCAATAAGATTGTAACAACTCATCTCATCTCATTAACATTTCATTTCCACTCATTTCCTCCTGAAAAGCTTGGAAAACAATTTCCTTAAGTGTGAGTCACATCATCCAATAATATAATGACAACTCATCTCATCTCATCTATTTTCTTATTTTTAAGAATAAACCAAACAAAAGAAAACAACCTATTACAAAGAAATAGGTTTCTTATAATTCATTTCTTTATTTTTTTCGCCAACCAAACAACATCAAAACAAGTTTTCTTAAAAAATCACTCACATCATCCTATAATAAGGTGATAACTCACCTCATCTCATCTCCATTTCTTTGATTTTCTTCTTTTTTTAGCAAACCAAACACTTTCAAAACAATTCTTCTTAGAAATAGTTTTCCATTTCTTTAATTTCCCACTTTTTTTAGGCAAACAAACAGACCCTTACTTCAAAACTCTGAAAGCTCTTTAGGGATTTAGTGTACTACTATAGGCGTCTAAAATTGCCTACGGGCCCTCACATGTAGCTCGAGGCACAGAGAAGGCGATGAACGTCACTATCCAAGTCACAGAAGCTTAATCGACATTGACAAGCACATGAAGTGAGTCAATGAACCATGCGAAGCAACGGAACTTCGGAATAACGAAAATACGAACTGATCGGGAGCACTGCGTCACTTACAAAAGACGAAACACCCCCCGTGTCCCATCCACTCCACAGATGATTCAATCATGGGAGCTTGTAGATCTTCTCGACGGCTTTCCGATGCATCTTGAATCGCACGATTCCGAGTTCGGACGACGAAGATACGACTGAAACGGACAAGATGCGCAGAACTACGTTCCGGGCCTCGGCGAGACACCCACGGGTGTCCGCAGACCCGAAAATCAGATTTTGGCAGTTTAAAGCCGTTTTTCAACCGTTAACTGCATGGATTTGTTTCAACTGATAAAATATCATCCATGAACGTGATTAAGTGGTTACAACTGATGATAAAAGAGAATCGACCGTTCTTATCTGAAAACAGTGGTCCCTAAGCCTATAAATACAGCCCCAGGGCCTTTATTTTTTTCAAAACTGGAATTCTCGAGTGTCAGCGAAGCCCTGCCGAATTGAGGACTGAAGAGCCATGAATTTAAAAGAGGAGGAGGAGATCGGATCGATTTCTTCAGGCATAAAGAAGGAGATTTCTACAGATCTGCAGCCCGGTTCATTCCCTTGAGATTGCCCCGTTGCGGTAATCTCGAGAAGAGTGATTATCTTGCTGTTGCCGAGATAATTTCTTCAGTTTCTTGATTCCTTCGCGAATCAATAAAGCTCTGGATCTGATCTGACCGTTTGGTGGTCCACGGATATCAACGTCTCTGTCACAGGCAAAGATCCCACAACAGCAGCAGGCGATAAACACCCGTTGCGTTTGTTTAAAGGAGATTGTAATTTTAATTTTATTGTGTAAAGGTCTTATAAAAAGACCGATCTTTTTTTTTGAACTTGTTGTAACGATTGAAGCTGTAATAAGTTATACAATGAAGAAATCGATTTCCCACCCAAACAAGCTGGCGACCACAGTGGGAGCTAACAGTCTCGTCAACGAGGCTGTCGTGTCGCAGCCGACGATCAAGATCCTCGTGGCTGAAGAGGTCAAATACGAGTTAGACCAACAGAAGTTCGAGGAGTACGTCCCCTCCTCCTTCTCCAGATCCGCCTCTCCTGACAAATGTAGGAGGGTCTCCTTCGCCCGAAAGATCCGCTGGTCTTTAGATCTGAAGACTCAAGAAGGCGAATTTCCTGCTACCATTGCTACAACCGCACCTCACAATGATCCGCCAACATCCAATGAGACCAGATCTGCAGATCTGAACTCCTCCGTGATCAAGGAGTACTACTGAAGGCGCGCTAACTCTATCAAGGAGAGCATGTCAAAGGCAACGCCAACGCCTTGCGTGCCAATTCGCCAAGGCCTTGGATCAGATGGACGGACTCTGTTACCAAGCGGATCTGGAGTTCAGAAAGCACCAAGTGGCTAAGCCATCTCCACAGCAAGCTTCGCGAACCTCCTCCCAACCACCTACTAACGAATGGGTTCGTGTCAAACAGAACCGTTACACTCTTGAGAAGCGCATTCAGAAGCGTCGCGCACTTCTTATGCATGCCCATATCCTTGTACGAAAAGCACAAGAAATGCAAAAGGAAGAAGCGGTTAAGAGATCGTCGAGATCCAAATAAATTTGGATGCCAAAGGCTAAATCAACGCCTAAGGCCAAAGAAAGCAACGTTGCTCCCCAGCCTTCGTCAACTTCGGATCCCGCTCCTATTGCTCCTACACTTCGGTGAAGCCCAACGACAGCGTGGATCTCTCCAAATTTGGAATTCCGTTGAAGGATCGCCTGGGTCCTTTACACGAAGATCATGGCAAGGCGCCTGTTAAGGAACACTTGGATCGTTGAAGGAACCGCGAGCAACCATCCACACTGGGGTTCATACGCGACCTCCTAACAAGTTGATTCCCGTAATTACCCACGGGGGGGTGCCTGTACAAAGCCAGGAGCCCGTTAAAATTTCACCCTCACACGAGTGTGATTCCAAACGTGTGACTCCTGCTAAAGCCAATAAAGCACTACCTATTCAGAAGAAGACGTGCCGAACAAACAACAGTGTTCCACTTGAGGAATCAACCCACCAGCCGATAGGTTACTCTGACCACAATGTCGATGAGTTGTACTATCAGGCTGGGGGTACTAATAAATCTCGAAAGAGAAGTACCCGGGAAACGGACTTTCACTGTCCGTGTACCAAACTTATCAAGGTAGTATTATCAGCGTGTAGCTGCCCCAAGACTTCTTTACAGAGGGTCTCGGTATTTGAAAAGATCTCCACCAGAGCATCCAAGTCCAAGCCAAGGCGTTTCTATAGAAAAAGATCAGTTGCGTAAGATGACGAACTCCCAGAGGTCACCATCAATATGGTCGATAAAGGGAAGTCAACGCAAAGTTTGTCCCCGTCATTTTTCGGACGTATCCCAACGTATAACTCGGTTGCGCGTGGAAACTACTAGGCGTAGGGACTATCAGGATGAATAGCGAATTATCCTCAGATGATGAAACATCAGATGCGAACTCTGCCATCACTTCTAACAATACAGTGTCCAGCATAGGACGATCTCATGAGGCGTTCATGATCAACACTGAACAAATAACCAAAATCATCGAGGACGCTTTGGCTAGGCAAAAAGAGAACTTTAAGTTCGAATTGGAAATGGCCATGAACCAAAATCATCGAGGACGCTTTGGCTAGGCAAAAAGAGAACTTTAAGTTCGAATTGGAAATGGCCATGATACGGATGAAGGAAGAGCATGACCAACAATGGAAATGGCCATGATACGGATGAAGGAAGAGCATGACCAACAAATTCGGGCTCTGTCCAATCAATTCGATAAATCCAGCCATCACAACCTTGCTAACCAAGCAGGTAGCGATTCAGATACAGATGAACGTATCAATGCTGAGAACCCTCCTGTTGACCAAAACAATGGGGGTGCCCCCACTGAAGATAACAATACTAGGGGTGGTCCCACTAAAGATGACAATACTGGGGTGGCCGTATTATTCCTCTCGAAAATTATCCAAAACAGGATATAGATGAGAACGAAAAGATGAAGGATCTTGAGAGCAAAATCAATGCTCTGATGTCTGCTCGAGAGGTGAAGAAGACCAAGATTCTGTGTCCTTACCCAAGAGAGTAGGATTCGATCCCGTATCCGGCAAAGTTCAACCTGATCAACTTCACACTGTTTGACGGGAATGGCTCGCCCACTCAACATTTGATCTATTTCAAATCCCACTTGGGCATGATTTCTGGCAAAGAAGTCTTGATGGTTCGGTCATTCATTGGCACCCTCCGCGGGCCTACTTTCGATTGGTACTGCCGTCTCTAGCCTGAAAATATCAACAACTTGGATGATATTGAGAGCTCGTTCCTCGGCAACTTCTTTGATGATGACGCCGAGATATCCATCAGGACACTCTTCGAGGAGAAACAGGAGGATGGGGAAACGATCAATGACTTCATCAAACACTTCCGGAATAAGGCGATGAACTGCTGAGATCCGATCACAGAGGACTTCATCCTCCAAACATGCCACAACAACCTCTCTTTAGACATGTTGAAAGTTATGGGAGTAGAACCATTCAACACCTGAAAAGAGTTAAAAGCGTACGGAGAGCAGGCAGACCGCTTCCTCCGAAGGAAGAAGGCCGAGAGGAGCTAACTGACGGCTAATCCTCCGAACTCAAACTTCGCCTCCCGTGGTAAGGGCAATGCACCTATAGCAGTTGTTGACGTTAATCAGACATCGCAACAATAACCCCGAAGATAGCAAAAGACTTTGGATCCAAGACTCCAAAAGGAGTACTCCTTCAAGGACGAAGATGTTCCAGCCATTTTCGAGTTCCTCCTTGAAA